CCCCCCCCGCGCCACGAAATCTGCACTTCATCCCTGACACCCGCGCCTGCCACGAAATCAATATTTTAAGGTGAACTCCCCGGTGCAAAATTTTCTAACCAAGCAAATGTGCTTCCTCTATCTCTCTATCTATCTATCTATCTATCGACCCATTTATCTTTTCAAAAAGTCCTGCGCCTGCCACGGAATCTGCACTCCAAGGCCCACAAATTCCTGCACCGGCCACCAACTCTGCACTTCCACATCCACAAAGTCTTGCACTTGCCACGAAATCCGCACTTCAAGGTACACAAAGTCCTGCACCTGCCACGAAATCTGCACTCCAAGGGCCACAAAGTACTGCACCTGCCACGAAATCTGCACTTCAAGGTCCACCAAGTCCTGCGCCTGCCACGAAATCTGCACTCCAAGGGCCACAAAGTACTACACCTGCCACGAAATCTGCCCTTCAAGGTCCACAAGAAGTCCTGCGCCTGCCACTGGCCACCAACTCTGCACTTAAGTCCTGCACCTGCCACGAAACACTACGACTACCACTACGATATTGCTGCTATTATAGTATTGTTGCTACTCTTACTGCTACTGCTATTTGGAATATTTTTTTGAGTCAGTATTCATTTTTTATTGATGCGTGCAGAATATTTTATTGATACGTTAAAGAATTTTTTTGATCTCTCACCCTGAAACCACTAGCTTCGTTGGCTGATGTCATGCACTGACCCCCTGCAAGGTTAATTCTGCTAGACAAAGCTCTTGGAAACAGAGGGCGGCGCACGCACTCACACACAACTCAAGACAAGCCAAGCGCCGCCTGAGGTGGCTGTCTTTGAGCCGCGGGGTGTTGGCCTGGACACATCCAGGGTTGGCATACGGCACCTGGCCGGAGATCCTGACCTGGAGATCGTTTACAAGGTGGAATGAGATGTGATGTTAATTTTCCACAAGTGGTCCAGCATATGTGGTTTTATGACTTGACATAGGGGTGAGAGGGGCACTGCGAATTGAAAAGGAAGACTTGAAGAATCCTGGTGCATCGCTTGAGCATGATGTCAATTCTACAGCCGTCCCAGGAGTGTGGCTTCTCCTTTCGTTTGGACCTCTCCCAGCGCCTGTCGCGCTTGAGCCGCTGCCAGGGTGGCGTCGCCGAGCGTGGGCGGCTGCGAGGGTTGGTGCAGCCCACCGAGCGGGTGCTGGTACTGGGCTCCGGCATTGGACTGAGCTCCTGCATTGTGGGTGCTGGAGCCTTGGAGGTGTGGGGCCTGGAAAAGGATGAGGTGAAGCATGGCTTTGCTGAGGTGGGGGGGCGAAAGGGGGGAAGCTGGTGTGATGCTGAGGTGCTCCTCATTTTTGTTCCTACCCAGCCCAGTTGGAGGCCAACATCATTGAGAATGAGCTGGAAGGAAAGGTTCGGAGCATCGCGCGGGATCCTTTGGACGTGAACGACCTTGGCGGCTTTCATCGGATCTGTGCATTTCTCAAATTCCAGCCGGTTGCAAATCTGAAGCCGCTGATGGACGTCTTGTTGCCGGGGGGCACCTTGCACTACTACAACCACGAAACAAAAGAGGACACCTTCATTCATTGGAAGTCATGCTTTTCCCATCCACTTAAATTCCACCCCGCCAATCCGCATAAGGGGCAAGAGCAACTGAACAAAGAGTTACTGAACGGACACCATGACCCCCAATCCAAATCCTGCCCACAAATTAATTATTCATTGTCTCCACAGTTCAGCATGACTCTCCAATCCTGGCTTGTCCTCGCTTCACGTCTGGGTATGATGATGCCACGACCTACACAATTAATGGACAAGATAACCCCGCATGTTATCATCTTCTTAAGAGCAACGGCGGCAGGGAAGAGGAGCAGGGTATAAGTCAAGGGGAGAAGAAGGAAGACAGGAAAAGTACACGAGCAAAATGAGTTCTGGTTTCTTACAAAATGAGTCGCATTTGGGGGCCTCCCACACTGATCAAGTCTGATGCACCAACATTGGAAAACCTTACTGTAATGTCTTACAAAATGAAGGACGCAGCAATCTCAATGCTTGACCCCACATTTTCTATAGATTGATGGGGGCCAGTGGCCAAAAATGCTTGTAGGCACTGTCATTTTGTATCCCTGACATTTGGATGCACGTATGTATTTTGTAAGAAGTCTTGCTGCGCTCACAGAAAAGTGGGGTCAGACCCCTCACCCCTAATTTTACAGCCGATCTAAAAACGGACCAGCCCAGACTTCAGTGAAACAAGTCCAACAAGTCCACCTACTAACGAAACCAACATTCGCTCCAATCTTCAACCGTATCCCTAACCTTGTCCCCTTGAAGTTCTAACGTTACAACATGTGACAATTATGTTGGGCGGCTGTTTTTGTTTCTACAAGTTATTGTTGTTGTTGCTGCTGCAGTTGTCCTCGATCTTCCCTGTGCACCTCTAGACCTAGCATGGCAGCTAGAGCATCACATTTGTGCCACTGGATTCCCACGTTTTGACCCTGCGTGGGTTTTAGGGTGGTTGGTCGCGAAGAGATAGAAACTGTTTCGATAGACTTCCAAGATCTTCCAAGTTCCAAGGCGTTCAACAACTCGTTCGCCTACTTTGGATCAGTCGACCTCTCCCCCAGGAGTTCCACCGGGAGCCCTTGGCGGTCTTGGACGCCTTCCGTGCGTTGTCGGGTCGCCCCATGCAGCTGACTTGGCGCGGCCGTGTGCCACGGAAGTCCATCGCACGGGATAGCTACCGAGCCTTGGACAAACCACGCGACGTGACGAGAAAGGTGTGAGGGTATGACAGACCTGGAACCTGAACATAGCATCACTAATTACACCTTCTTTTTTTTGGTGAGAGGATGTAAGAAGGAGAGGGGAAGAAGAACACTTTGCGAACTGAGGAGTTGGGATGGATCTCCGAATCGCATGAGAAGAGAGGACAAATCGGTTCTGCAAGTCTCAGGTTTCTTGTCCAGGAGAGATCGGAACAAAAGGTGCGAAAGAGCAACCGCTTGCGGCATTGAGCGCGTGTAACAGGGCATTATTGTTATTGATTGTTTCTTGCGGTTCTTGCGGGGCAGAACTGCATGGATTTGGCAGAAGGTACTATGACTAGGCAAAGGCCAGGAATGTCTTATCGCTTCAAGCAATCAAGCTGAATCAAACTGAAACATATTGAATAGTTCCTGGGTAGGCATGCAAGAACAGTCTCACGTTTTAGCGGGAATTGTAGCTTTACATCTATTTGGATGGCGGTTCAAGCTTCCAATTGTGCATCGATCCACAAGCAGCTCCATGCACAACACCGGTATGACGCCCTGACGGGCACGGGGCCCAAAGCACCGGGTGCCTTGGTGCCTGGCCAGGTTTGGTGAGCAACCTGAAGCAGTGACAGGGTCGCAAAACGGGAACCGAAAATGGAGTGTGCCACAGGGTGTTCTCCAGCTTTTGCCTCGCACATCCTTGTCATAGCCCTTTGCCTCGCACATCCTTTGCAACTTTATTGTGTGGACATTTTGGTTGATAGATGCAGAATGCTTCTGATCTATTGACCTCTGGCGGTCCCCATGTCGGTTCAAAGCCTAGCAGCTAGCAGACGGACCGAAGAAAGAATGACCCCCCTGATGCAACGCTATGGGCCTTTGTCAAAACGGTAATGTTTTTGCTGGGTGTGGGGACCACTTCACCAAAAGTGCTTGTCACAGCGCTTTTCCCAGATGAGACGTGACAGCCTCCCTCACCAACTGGGCAAGGTGGCGGAAGCATTGATCGAGCTAGCTGTAGGGAAGTAGAAGGTAGATATATTTCGGAAGGGCGCTGTGCACGGATTCTGCCAAGACATCTCAGCTAGTTGGCTGCCTCATGCAGCCTACGGAGTGTGCTGGCCGCTGGCGCCGCCATTGGTCGGGATGGTAGATCCCGGACTGGTTCCCTTGGCTGCGTTTAGAGTTTTGCAGACAGGATCCCAAGAGGTCAGCTTCTGTATCTGCATGATAGAGTTGGATGCCAGCGCACTTCAGAGTCCACATGGAAAGATGTTGAATGGCCCATCTCCTCGATCAACAGCTATTGGGTAAAACAGCCGGAGATCGAAACATGGCGCCCCATGCGCATGATCCATCTTGTGCGAGCAACGCAAGACGGAGTGAGCCAGCGGGGCTGAGGTCATCATCTTTGCCTTGCATTCTGTGTGCTCCATTAGTTTGACCCTGCTGAACAAGCAGCTGGCCAAAGAGATCCCATTTCCCCTCTCCATCGCCTCTTTGATCGTATACGCCTGATGGGTCGGTGGGTGACGGGGCGGCCAGCGTTCCGGACGTGGAGGTCAGAGGTGGTTGTGATGTCCTCTCCTACTGAGGTTAGCGCTTAGGGAGGTTGTGGACATGGTGGACCTAGGAAAAACTGCGATCAAAGCAGAGGACTCCCCAGAATTTGAGGATTGCAGAGTGTTGAAACAATGGCATGCAAAGACCTATTTCTGGGCTACTCAAGGCCCAAGTTACTACCCCTTTGGGCTTATCTGTGAGGGTCATCGCAGGGTGCGCTTGCACATGTTGCGAACATGTCTGATCTAGTGCGATCCTGGTCGCTGGCCTGCCAAGGTGTTTTTCCAATGTGTTGCCAGCATTGGCTTTACTATGACCCTTGGCTTACAGGTCATCATTGCTTCACATGGTGACACCGTGATGATTTGCGTATTCTGACCCTCAGGATTGCAAATGTGTGGCTTGCCCAAATCAAGAAGATCCAACTATCTCATCTGCCCGGCGCTATGCTCATTTCGGTCTTGTTTCTCTCCTGCCTGTGTCCGGGCAGCATGGGGTCTTCACCTGGGCCATTTGACAACGCAGTGGTTGGGGGTGACGCAGGGAGGATCGGGATTGGCCCCCGAGCCGCGGGATGCAGAAGATGTGGTCTTGTGTCTGGAAGCCCCGAGCCGATCAGCTCGGTAGAGCACCAGACTAGCAGCTTCCTTCACCTAGGACTAGCAGCTTACTGGGGCTGAAGCACGTCCATGTGCCAATGGTCGTGGTGGGGAAGAACTTGGGAGCCTTGGGCGGAGAGAGTTAGAGCTTCACATTTCTGTGCGCTTCGTGGCTCTTTTCTTGCCTTTTTTTAGTGCTAATCAAAGTGATACACGAAGGCCACAGAGGACATTCAATGTGAATTGTGGATCTCCACAGTCAAGTTTTTCCTTGCCTCCCTTGTGAGTCAACTGTCCACCAAGGGCCTTTTTGCACAGCCTTGCTGGAAGCAGTTCTCCTGAAGGTGGCAGCCATTAGTTATATATTCGGTATATTGACTGTACACAGCCATCATTGTCACATGCGCTTGGACGCTCATTTTTGTAAGCAAGCACCTCGGTAGAACTACAGCTGGTGTATGACCTACGGACCCCCCCCCTATCCCTATGACCGGCGGATGATCAGTCCAACTCATGGGGCAGCAGGCGACCCTGAACCCGCGGACCCTCTTCTCCCTCCTTCTGGGCGTCATTGGCAGCACGCTCTATGCCATGGGCGATTTGAACTCGGAGCCTGGACAGCTGGATGGGTAGTCAGAGAGAGCGAGAGAGAGAGAGAGAGAGAGTCATGAAAATCTCCCAGATTGCCTCCCTTGCTTTTGGCTATGTCACGAACTGTCCAGCATGGCCAGCAACCTGAACATGAAGTGTTATACACTGTGAATTCACTAATCTCCGGACCATTCTGAGGATTCAGAAGGTGGCTTGGCACCAATGGGGTGATGCCCCTATTGAAGTGACTATATGTATACTGGCGACAACCCTGATACAGATACGATCATTGATACGTCAAACCGATTTTCAAGGAATTTCTTCAGGGCTTTTCGCATTTTGCAGGGATGCTTGGTGGGAGGCAGTTCAGCTGTTCCAAGGCCTTTTTCTAGTTGGTGGTAATGCACTTCTGGTGGCCCTCACCTCTGTCTCGGAGAAGTATGTGGTGCGGACCGTGGATCAGGTGCCCTTTGTGCTGGAAACGGTTCACAGAATGCAGATGTCTTCGGCATGGGCCCCATCCCATACCTGCCAGTTGACGCACAGGAACCACATCCAGTCGTCTAGCCGTGCTCATCCATTTTGAGCGGGAATGGGCTAGGCATTATTTGCTTGTTTTGGGGGCCGGAGAGTGGTGGCAAGAGGCCTCTGAGAGAGGTAGGCAGTGGAGTTCAGGTTTCCAGTTTAGACTGCAAATGAGAAAGTACGGATCTACATGATCTACAACTTTCTATCGAGCCCACATTGCCGATTCAGGCTGCCTTGGGCTTCAGCCTCTACCGCTCCTTGGCAGAGACTAACAACCTGCAGTTTTCAATATGGTGAACCAGTTTCGTGCAGACCAATCTGAAAGGGCTCTGGAATGCAACGTGCATTAGGCAGTTTGTGGTGCACTGAGTGCTTCACTCAGGAAATGCGGTGGCCATACCGCTCTTGTGGGTCTTGATGACTGCTGGCACCTCGCATGCGAGGAGGTGTTTCCCGGCTCTTCACCCTAAAAGACCGCCCTCGGGAGCCTCTCAATGTCAAGCTTTTTGCGCCAAAGCTGCCGTGCACCCATCAGGTATGGAGAACTTTAACGATGCGCTGGACGCATTCAAGAATGCCAGCCGATATTGCTGGATCGCCCCTTGTCATGCAATTTGGGTGTTCGATGCGGCTCCTCTATTGAGCTGGCGTGGCACATGCTCGCAACATCACCAGGCTGTTCACACGTGGTGCAGTTCGTTTGCCTGAAAAAGGAAGACCATCCTCTTTGTCGATCCATCAGCTCTAAATAGGACACGCACCGATTTCAAGACTCCTTAGAACATCTTAGAACCACCTCAAGGCATTCAGCCTTATCAAATTCCAAGCAAGCCCCCAAGTCAGTCTCCAAGTTACTTGGGCACCAGCTCCCAAAACCCAACATTGCCCCCCTTCACCCTGTGGCGAATGCTGAGCAACGCGGCTTCCGGGTTCCCTGGGTCAGACACCGTTCTCACCGTTCGTTGTCGCGTGAACGCGCGTTCGCGCTGACCACGCCACCAATGAGAACGCTGAAGCGCCGAGCCGCGGCGGGAGGTCTTTGGAGCCTCCACAATCTTCAGTGCAGCCGCGGGGCTCTTCATTTTCACCCTACAAGGTCGTGTGAGTGCCACGACGCCCGGAGATGGGAAGTTGGATGGAGTTTTTTGGGCGGGGCAGTCGAAAAGTGTGTAGTGCAGATTGTATTAGTATAAGTATAATCACGTGCATATATATATATATATATATGTGCAGGACGCACGGCGGACACACCCTTTTCCACTGAACTAAGGGGGGAGGCTTGTGCCATAGGTACCAACCGGAGAGTACTAGGGACACACAATCTATACAACTTGCATGCCCGTGTCAGTTCCACTCTGAGGAACTGAGTGTGAGTTGAGAGACAGGAGTTGAGCGATTTTTGCTCGTACTTCACTTCCCATCAATCAAACACATCCTTTCCTTGCTGTTGGCGTTTGCGTCCAGAAAACATGAGCTCGTCATGAACAATCTTCCATCGTTGACCTAGCTGGACAAATCGGCACATTTGTATATCCTCACCTCGCTTAGTGATGCTATTGGCAAGCATGGCCTGTGAGTTAACCCACCTAACTCTCAAACCAGTTTCCTGTTGGGATTCCTTCAGTGTGATCAGCTCCAGGTCGATACGTTTTTGGGCTCCCTTAGGCGTGATATATGGTTTGTCAACACGATCAAACACATTTCGGCTATCCGTAATCAGGGTCCCACACAATAGAACTGGGGTTCTTCTTGAGGCTCAAATGGGAATATGTGCATGGGATCTTTCGCTGCCAACCGCATCTTGCACAAAAGACTATTGACATCAAGGAGCGTCTGTACAGTGCTGGTGTTCACCTCGGACAAAAACAGACTCGTGTATGCGACAAATCTGTATCCAACTTGGTTGGCATGCCAGCTCAGTGCTCCAAGCAGACCTCGTAATTCGGTCTTCTCTTCAGGAGTTGTCTCCTCTTTAATTTGTTTCTTTCTTTCTCGGGCGATTCGAATTTCTTGAACATCGCCCAAGTATTTGGTTTGTTCCAAAGAGAATCCACCGGATGGTGTGCTTTGCACATGAACTCCACACTGGACAAAATCATTGCATTCCCACTCCTGCCACTTAAATTTTCGTTGAATGGCTTCCTGGAGTGCTGTCCATTCAGGAGACTCAATCCCGGTGAAGAGGAAGTCGTCAACATGTCCCGAAATGAGAGCTAGTGTCTCACCTGCTCTCTTGTATCGCCACATACAAGGGTCGCTTTTGAGCTGCGAAAACCCTAGGCTTTTGAGAAACTGGTTCATGGTCTCAAACCACTCTATGGGAGCTTCAACTAAACCATAGCAGGCCTTGCGCATTTTCACCACACTTTGTGGTGCCAGGTTCATGGCTTCGCAGATCTCGACCGTCGGAATGAGGTACAAATCCCGGCCAAACTCTCTGCCCTGTAGGAACGCTGCAGCGACATCTCCCTTCTTGACTTGACAGCCATGGTTTGATGCCCATTGGATAAGCATCTGTCTGCTATGTCGGGTCATAGTCGGGGCAAATGTCGGTCGATGCTGGTATTCAGGGTCCATGTAACCCAAAACAACTGCTCTCGCTTTTGGCTTGGAACTACCATCTTCGGAATGCTTCCATGTCAATACCCATCTCATTCTCAATGCCTGGTGCCTTGCAGGTTGTAGATGTTCAGGCAAAGCCTGAAGGGCTTCTGCCGCGATGAACTTGTCCACCTCTACCTTTTTGGCACCAGCAAATTGCTCGTGTTCCAGGGCTGACAAATGACGTTCCGACACTTCCACTGAACGTCGCTTCAGAGCACTCACGAAGTATGCCACTGGATTGTTCATGAAGCGCTTCAACTTCCGTTGGTCTGTGGGCAGTTCAAGAGTCAGCTCCACTGCAGCATGTGGATTGTCCCAAGTGGTCCGCGTGTCTGTGGTTAGCCACGCTGACTCAGGCACCAGTTCTTGCCACGAGGGTCCTGTGAATAGTGCTGCGTCCTCACTGCGACTTGGCTTTGGGCTTCTGCTCCGGTCTTGTTGGCGTGACTGCTGTTGCTTGCCCGTGACTCGTCTTCGGTTTGTAGGGTGTTCTGTGTCATCCAACTCCTCCGGCTCCACCAGAGATCGTTTGTTCTCTGAGGGTCCAGGACCGGTATGGTCTTGAAAGGAGGCTTTGTGGAGATCTCCGGCTAGACTGTTGAAGGTCCACGGTAGTTGTGGTGGCCTGGTGAGTTCATGTAAGCATGTCTCCCGCATGGAGGCGGGCCTCAGTTGTTCTTGAGCTGCTTTCACAAGGCGATTGCCTCGTACCAGCCATACCACGCTGCTTGCACGCAGTTGACCGTGTTCTTGTCGTGTCTCAACTGCCAGGACTCTCGCTGGACCCACATAGTTGCCTCGATTCCAGGAGTTTTGCCTTTCGGCGTTCCCCAGCTGTGTTCGCCAGTAGAATACCAAATCACCTGGAAAGAAGTCTTTGTGAGGATGATGTTTCGAGTTGCGGGCTCTGGTGAGTTTCTCCTGCGCTTGCCAATCGATGAATGCTTTGGATGCCTGTTGTCGCAACTGAGAGGCAACTTCCATCTCACCATCTGGAGACTGCATCATCTCCATTGGCAGGTCGGTAGTTCGTCGATCAAAGACTCGACCTTCGATGTCTGGCTGCCTACCGATGGCATGCTGAAAAGGACTATATCCTCGCACGATTTCTCGATGGTTCCAGGTGTAGATGGCATGTTGGATCAACTGTATGACATCCTGTTCCGCATCTCCGGCTGTCTTGGTGAGGAATTCTTTCACCCGCTCAATGCAGCGCTCCACATGGGAAAGGTTCCAGTGTGCTTCGGCTGGGATATGGTCCAGGTGAATACCTCGTTCACTGAAGAAGTTCAGCATCTCCTCCGATCGGAAAGCTCCCTCCGGATCAGATCTTACCACATCCGGCATGCCAAAATATGGGAACCAGTGGTTTGCAAAGAGTTCAGCGTATTCGGAGGCTTTGACTCCTTTGCCTCCGTCCATCCGCATGACTTTGCCAACCAGGAAGCGACTTGCCTCATCCATGACCAAGCTGAATGAGACTTGCTTCTTAGAGGTTGGATGCTTCCAGTATGCAGTGTCGATCTGCACACTGCGCCAGCGGTCAGTGTGAACTTCCAGATTGGCCTGGCGTCGAGGATCAGGCCTCTTTCTTTCGTCACACGCGCTGCACCTAAAAGATTTGGCTATGGCAAGCACATGGGGACTAACCTGTCTCCTTTGAAGGGTTTTGAGCAACAGTTCACAACTCCCGTGTCCGGTGGCACTATGTATTTTGAACAACTGCTTCAAAATGCGATCTCGTTCCTCTCGGGACACTTGCTGTTCGAGTGGGGGTGAATCTTCCCCCGCAAAAACAAATTCACTCCATTCCTGCATGCAAACATGACACGTCAGTTCTTTCGTGAGTTTGTGAATACGCTTACACCAACATCCTTGCTGTCGTTTGGGAGTGTGTGTTTCCGTTTCGCACTCACTGCAAAACATGAACATCCGAATCGAGGACCGACATATGGTACACCACCCGTCGAACGAACTCCGGAGTGTAAAACGCGGTCATACGAGTGGCCTGTCCTTCACACAAGGCATGCGTTTTGTTCAAACAAGCACAAGTGTCATGCAAACGTTCCGAGAGGTGACGGTCGGTGCACTCCACTCGCCATTCCTTTCCCAAGGGAACACCAGTTTTGGGGTCTTACAAACCAACCTGACAACCAGAAATGATGGCGGTAGAGGTGTTGCAGTGGTTTCTCCATTCATCCAACAAATCCCATTTCCAAGCCCTACATCGTCGACTCCACTCCCAACACACGACCGACCCAGCCGCATGCGCCCAGTGTGCCACCACAAGTGCTCCCACATGTTGTTTTCGGGCATCCACTTGTTTTTGTTTCAGGGCCTCTTGTTGTTCAGGGGTCCTTTGGTTACAGTTTTGAATGGGGGAAAAGGCACCGCACTCGGTCGCAATCCACAAAAACCGAGGCTTCTTCTCACGGATGACCTTAATGGCCTGTTTCACCCCCTCGCCCGTGCGAAGGTCGTATCCGTTCCAAACAGAGCAACGCTCGGCAGTGAATCCCTTTTTCAAAGCTTCGGAGGTCAGGAGTGAGTCTGGTGAACACGCGAGTTCCATCACAAACAGCCTTGAGGCATCACTTACGGACGCCCAAGCCTCTGAAAGAACCAACTCGCTCGCCTGTTCAAGGGACCTAAGCTTTTGCGGTGACAAGTGTTTCCACTCGTCAGGGTGGCCTAGCCATCCATCTTCACGAAACTCCCGTCGGATGCCACCGATGTTCCAGCTCGGGGAGGCGGCGTCTTGTGACGCTTCTTGCCCTTGAGCTCGTCGAGCTCCTCTTGCATGGCCTTCATGGTTTCCATCATGTCCTTCACTTGTTCGGTCATCGCCGAGGCACTTGCCTTGGCATCCACATTCTTGCTCGATGACCCCGCAGCAATGGCCACTGTTGGTCGGCTGTTGGTGAGGGCTGCATGGTATCCGGACCCCTGGTCCTTCATTGGTGTCTGAGGCTTCTCGATAGGATTGTGTTCCATCCTCTCGGCCCAACTGGCGAGTTGGCGAAGCCGCCAATCCGCCGTGTCCGAGTTGCCCACCTTGGCCTGAGCCCAGTTGAGGTACCCCGGATCGTGTTGAGCCACTTCCATGAAGCTCATGCCCTTGTACTTCCCAAAGTCGATCAGTGTCTCGTTGTTGCCGCTGTGGATCAACCATGACTTGAGCATCAAGCGCAGCTCCCCCACCGTGGCCTTGGCCGGATGTTCGATCTGGCGGGCCTGGCACATTGAGCGTAGCTCGCCAAGTTTCGCATTGTTGATCTCCTTGACAAGATTGTTGGGAGCTCCCTTGGGCTTGATGATTCCCTGAGCTTCGCGAGACTCGCGAACCAGCATCCGGCATTCCGGGAGTGTGAACTCCGTCCAGGCAATGCGCTTCTGACCATTGGCCTCGAGTTCCTGGATGCATTCCGTCTTGCTCAGCAAGTAGTGTGGCTTCATGGACTTGTCCGGCCACATGGTCACCTGAGCCGCGGTTGCTTCCTGAGTAGTTGCCATGAGAGCAAGCGTCAACGACAACGGGAGTGTGGTCACCGGTTTGGACACGTGAATCAGATGGCTGCGGGGACGTATGGGCATGCGATCGTTCGTCCTGGCATTCGACGGCCGAGCCTAACCTCACCTCATGTTCATGAGTTTCACCAGTATCACCAACCTGTTTAGTTTCTTGGTTCACAGAAGTGGTTTCGGGCAAAATCAGCTTTCCTGTCTCTTTATCCTCACACTCAGACCCAGGGTGATCTGAGCTGAGTCTGCACCCCTATTCGGGGTTTCCTACAAGCTGGCGAAGGCTCATCACGCGATTGGTGAGAGTTATGCCACTTTCCAAAAAATCCTGTGTCAATGGGATCAGTTGATGTCCCGTGGTAGAACGCTTGAGCTTCACTAAGGTGCGATCGTTGACCGCCGTGAACACCGCCTCATCGGTGCGAAAATCAATGATGGCGCCCAACTTGCGTAGAGTCGCAACTGACACGAGGATTGGCGCACTTCCCTGATCCAGGGCGTGCACCTTTAAAGACATTTGCTGGGCTTCCGTGGGAACATGTACATAACATGTTGAAACACACTGACTACGCTCACTGTTGCCGAAACCAAACGTAGGTCGTTCTGACAGGTCCACTCGAAGGACCCCTGGCAGGTTGAGGCGCCGGGCTTTGTCCTGCAGCTGTTTGATGGCGTTCACGGAGGCCATCGTCTTTGTGGCGCCACCATCCAGGACACCATACCCTTCTCGCAAGACTTGGTCACCCGGAATCAGGTCGGGTGAAGCTTCCTCCAGGTTGGTCCAGCAAAATGCTTCCGGTTTCACGCAAGCACTTTCAGGTAGGACCCCGTACACATACTCGGAGTGTTCAACGGCCTCATAGTTCTTGCCGTCCTCATTCTTCTTGGGGCAATGGGAGGTATCACGATCTTTTCCACAGCGAGCACACGGTCCTCCGGTTCTGGTTGAACTCGTTGTGTTGTTTGGCCGTCGGTCCCCCATGCCTCCTTTGCCCTTCCCCTTGGAATAGCCCTTGCCACGATCCGCGGATGGCGCATAGAAGCGACGTCCCATCCGCACCTCATGCTGTTTGGCTCGAGCTTCGCGAAGGGTCACCCTCGCTTGCTGTAGTTGAGCCCAGGCCTCATGTTCTTCATGTTTAGCCTGTTGGTACAAGGCTAAGGCATCCTCGGGGAGGTCCTCGTAGAAGCTTGTGTCTTCTTCCCATGGCTCCGTCTCATCTTCTTCATTTTCATAGAGAGCCTGTTTGGCTTCTCCATCTCGCTTCTTGATTGTCTCATCCGTGAAGTGGCTCCGAAGGGCGACTTCAACGTTGGCGAGAGAGAAATTGTTCTTGACCTCGCTCTGAATCAGACTGCGTTCCATGCCGTCCAGGTTGGCCTTTTCCAGGAGAAGCCAACCCTTGATGACATCCGGCAGGATCTCGACGAAATCTTCCTCATCATCTTCATCTTCTTCGGCGATGCTTGTATTGGACTGGAGGTTCCAGTTCCATGTGGTCTCCCACGTCGACCACCACCAAGCATCATCCCAGGTCCATTCGGTCTCATCCTGGGCTTCCTCATCATAGTCCTCAGTGGGCGTCGCCTCGGTGTCACCCTCGGTGGCAAGGTCCGATGAGCCCCCCCCCTGTGGATGGCCTTGCCGTAGACACCGACTGTCTTCGTCCTGAGTGCCAGGCCTGGCTGGTCATGTCAGGAAGTGACTTTTGTTCTTGCATCACGCGAGTCAGGGCTTTGCAGGTCCGTGCGTACTCTTCCCGGTGTCTCACACAAAACGACACCATGGATTCGCCGCGACGGCGCCGCAGCAGCTTGAAGTAGGTCTTGAGCTGGTTGGAGATCTCCGGAAGGGCTGGCTCGCTCATCGTCTCTTTCAAGCAGCGCAGGAGCTTGCCAACGCCATCCTGAGACGAGAGCCAGCCTCGCTTCTTGTTCGCTATTGCGGTGCGTGCCGCTCCAGTCAGCTCGGCTGCCAGCCGTGGACCACATAGGTAGCGACTTTCCCACTTCACCGTCTCCTCGTACATGTAGGCAGCCCTGCGATACTCCGACCAAGTGGACGGAGTACCATCCCATGCAGGGATGCCATCTTTGGACTTCGTGACTGTCATTGGGCTCCTTCTCACTCACAACCGGTGCGCTTCAACGCACCCACACACACACCCTCAGGGCCCGATGCAGGCCCCCCTGGATCGCCGGCCTCGAGGAACTCAGCGCCTCGCCGCCCCACACCGCGCGCAACCGCAATGCAGAGCTCCGCTACCGTGCAGGACGCGCGGCGGACACACCCTTTTCCACTGAACTAAGGGGGAGGCTTGTGCCATAGGTACCAACCGGAGAGTACTAGGGACACACAATCTATACAACTTGCATATATGTATATATTTAGAGTTATACATTCAAACCTCAATAGTATAGTTTAGTTATTTGACTATTTATTTTTTAGTTGTATGTATGTTGCATGGATGCAAGCATACACGGATGGCAATTGGACCCGGTTCAGACAACTTGGGTTGACTCTCTTTGTTTGGTGGACAATGTGCGCAGAAAAGTAGCAGCAGAGAAGATAAACGGCAACCGCGTTCTGTGCCTTTCAGTTTTGGTTGTTGTTCGGTGTTGGGAGTGGAGGGTCCCGGAGATATCCGCAAACTTTCACAGCCACCTTAAAACTGACAACCTTCAATGGTCGTTATGATCTAGCAAGGCAGCACATTTTCATCATTTTTCATCCATTTTCCCAGCCAAGGACAACTCAGATCGCCAGCTTGTGCTACAAGCTGGCCACAACAGTGCTTTCATTGGTGGTGTTTCCAGAGGCCGAGCCCATCACCATGTCACTGTCGGTACCGTGTAATGTCGATCGACAAATCCTTGGGCCCCAATCCCGAAACCTTCCAAATCGAACGCTCCAATCCTTGGGGTGCTTCTGGCCCGCCAGGCACGAAAGGATCTTGGGTGGATGGCAGTGTTAGGCTATGGCCTTTCAACGGTGAGCGTGGCATTGTATGCGTGGCTTGGCGGATGGCTTGGCGCCACCAGAAACAGACGATGTGTCGGATGGCCTGCGTGGGTTTGCGCCCCTAATCAGCCTCGCTGAGCCACCATTTCAACAAACATGAAGTTGGACAAACTTTTCTCCGACTCCGCAAACTGAGTCGTTTTCATCTCTTTTCTCCGACTCCTTCCAGATCGTTTTAGACTTGGCCATGTAGCATGTCATTTTTAGACTCTTGGCCATGTAAGTGCATGTGGTCTTTCCACCTTTTTCACACGTCAAGCCTTGGGCCCGAGAAAATTTGTTCATGTTTCCATTGGCACCGGCTGTCCAGTCAACCCGTGCCCCCTTCCTTTTGGTGGCCAGGTTCTTGCCGGTGAGGCGGCCCGCGAAGGCCTCGACCTCACCGAGTGCAGCGCCCACTAAAGCCCCGGAATGAGCAAAACGCAGGTGCTGGCAGGGTTGGCAGAATCCGACCTTTGTTTGGCCCGGGTTGGTGATTGCTGGATCTGTTCCTTTGACTCGATGCGTTGTTGTGACGGAGCTGTTGCTTTGGATGGCCGACAACACCAATCAGAAAAGCAGCAAGAACAGAAGGTTTCTTTTTCAGTTGGAGTGAGGTGCCAAGCCTTGGCAATGCATATCGCCAAGCCCCTGTTTGGGTGTGCCAGTGAGGTCTCGATCCTTTCTTCCCTGGTTGATGGGCCAAGGTCGCGATGTATCTGCAGAGGAACTGGAACTGGTTCTCAGCCCCCCAAGGTAGCAATGGCGACAGAGGCGGGTTTGTAGACAACCAGCTGATCCAGAACTTTTCCCAGACAACAACTTGAGAGACATGCCCTGGTAACCACACTAGTAGCGATGCCAGGAGCCCTAGAAGCTTCTTGTTTCTAGTCGTAAGGCCAGGAGCCCCTAGTACAGTAGCGTCCTTGCTCCTAGCAGTAAGGCCAGGAGCCCCTAGTAGCGTCCTTGCTCCTAGTAGT